TCCCATCCCATCCCATCCCATCCCATCCCATCGCATCCCATTCATCCGACTCCATCTATTCTGTCCTCCTATCCCATTGAATCCAACCCATTCCATTTCATCCTATCTCATTTCATCTCATCCCATTCCATCTCTTCCATCCCCTATGGGGGCTCCACTCCCCTCCTGCCCATCCAGAGCCCACCCAGCACCCTTCATCTCAGACCCCACCCAGCACCCTTCATCTCAGACCCCCAGTTGCTGTGCATGCTTGGTGGTACTCACGGCTCCCACATGTCCCCAGACGTTCTGTAGGCAATGCCCCAGGGCTCTACATTGCAATGCTTGCTCTAGGCTTTGGCACCAGAACTCAGGGCCCTGGGCACAGACCACGGATGAGGTGGTCCAGGCAGCTGTGGTTCGGGGCCAGGACAACCTTAGTCAGGATCTAGGTTACACACCTGGCATCCTGATTTCACCCAATGTCTAAACCCAGTTAAGCTGGGAGTGCGAGGCCATTAAACATGTGGGAGGCACACAACTCTGGGTTCCACCTGCTCCAGGACCCACAAGCTGTGTGACCTTGGATAAGCTCTGGACTCTCTCCGAGCCCCAGCTGCTTTGTCTTTAAAATGAAGACACACTTGGGTTGATGCCTGGCACAGAGCAGTGCTCAGTGAGTGGTGGAGCTGCCTAGGAGAGGGAGGCTGGGGGAGACTCACCAGTGCCCGAGCCACAGAGCGTAGGCAGCAGCAGCAGCAGCCACTGCAGCAGGCGTGACTCGCCCATGGCACCTCTGCAGCCTGGGTACCCTGCTTGGGGCATAGCCCCTTATAGCTGGGCGGGGCGTGGGGGTGCTATGGGAACGGCAGCGACCTCAGTGTTTGCCTTTGCCCTGGAGAGCCCTCCAGGTGCTTGATCCCACCTCTTCCCAGCAGGGACACTCCTGCCTGCCTTACCACCTGTCCTGGCTGATGGCCCCTTCCTGCTCTCTTTGCCCCCTGCCCAGATTCCCATGCGCCTGGACTTGTGGCTTCCTCCAACCAAGGGTCTCTCAAGCATCCACACCTGGTCCCACCTCTCCAGGCCATGGGAGGGAAGCTGAGGAGGGAGGGGGGCAACTGGCTGGGGGCAGACAGGTTGATCCCCTCCCACCCCTCCCTGGGCCTCTCAGGCCCCCTCCACTCTTGAGCAATGTTCTCAAGAGCTTCCTGCCTGGCTCTTAACCCAGGGCAAGCCCTGGAAGGGCAGACCCAGGACGCTCCCCCCTTCTCCTTACCTTTTCCCCTGAAAAAAACTCCTTATTCTATGGACACATGGTAGTCAGGACAGTATTTACATGAAACAGAAAACAAAATATCCCGAGAGTCTGAGACAAGATTTCTGTGGCCCTGGAGCAGCTCCCAGACAGCCCTATTGGGTAGCTGCTGCCCATGGCCTCTGGGGAGCCCCTTCAGGGTAGGGGCTGGGGCATAGCTGTGATGGTTCAGCAGAAAGAAACTGTCGTCTGCAGCTGCAGGGGCTCTCAGGGAGGGCCCCCACTGCAGAGCACACTGGAAAAAATTAAAAGGCCGAGGGGGCAGAGGATATCTCGAGTGGAAGAGGAAGAGCATTAGCTCATTGCCTCCACCCCAGCCATTGTGATCAATTTATCTATCTCTGCGGGAGCCCTCTCCCTAGTGGAAACTCACGGGCCTCTAAACTCAGGAAGCACTACAGTGCTCTTGGGGTGGACAGGGCAGGAATTAGTGCCATGATAAAAAGAGTTGGGGCCGGGCGTGGTGGCTCACTCCTATAATGCTAGCACTTTGGGAGACTGAGGAAGGAGGACTCTTTGAGCCCAGGAATTTGAGACCATCCTGGCCAATACAGTGAGACTCCATCATTACAACAAAATTTAAAAATTACCCAAGTGTGGTGGTGCATGTCTCTGGTCCCAGCTACTCAGGAGGCTGAGGCAGGAGGATTGCTGGAACACAGCAGGTCACAGCTGCAGTGAGCTGTGATTGTGCCGCTGCACTCAGGCCTGGGTAACAAAGATCCTGTATCAAAATTTAAAAAAAAAATGTTTAAAAAAAGGAAAAAAAGAATTGGACACAAGATGGCTAATGACACACTCAAGGTGACCCCAAGGATTTATGTAGTTTCTGTTGGTCTCAAGCCCTTGTCCGTACAACAAACACAGCTGCCATCATGGGAGTCCACCAAGACTGTGTGAAAATGTGTAACCAAAGAGTAGGAACCCAGTGACCTTCATAGAGCCTCGGGAAGGTGGAACTGGAACATGTTTGTTATTTAGTACGTGTTAAACAAATGAGCGAGTGGGATCTGGTTTGAATACAATCAGGGCAGGCTGCCAAGAGATTAGGTATATGTGGCCGGCTGCCTTCAGGGGCATATTGGTTAGGGTGGCCTCGCTACCATAACGAAGAGCCCTCCAGTCTATGGGCTTCATGCATATTTCTCTTTTTTTGTTTTTTTATTTTTTGACATGGGGTCTCACTCTGGCACCCAGGCTGGAGTGCAGTGGCATTATCTTGGCTCACTGCAACCTCCACCTCCCAGGCTCAAGTGATCCTCCCACCTCAGTCTCCAGAGTAGCTGAGCTCACAGGTGCACGCTACCACACCTAGCTAATTTTTTTTCTATGATATTTTTGGTAGAGACATATTGTCCAGGCTGGTCTCGAACTTCGGAGCTAAGACGATACACCTGCCTCAGCTTCCCAAAGTGCTGGGATTACAAACATATGCCACTGTGCCTGGCCACATGTTTCCTTCT